ATCCCCGCCACTGATCGCCTAATATACGCCGTGTCATATTTTCTCCAGCCATTCTACGATCTACAACATGGCGATTTCTCTTCGCGAGGTACCTGATTACCGCCGCCTTGTTGGTGTATATATTGAAAGCTTGACTTCAGATATATTTACACTAAATCCGTTTGAATGAGAATCATGTTTGATTAAACAAGTCTATGTTCTGTTATTTTGCACTTAGATAGAATAGGTCGTCATCGGGCGAACAGAAGATCATTCTATCAGTTACTTGCGAAACAAGAATTGTGGTTCACTGTTGTAAATATTTTTCTGGAGTAGAATCGAAAGATTCGAACACTGGGTCGTGTCTCTCAAGGAAGGTTAGCCGAATTATAGTGCATGCTTATTCAACCCAAAAAAAAGAGAAACGAAATTCCTAAACATTCTAATTCAGAAACGGTAAGCCGATGCGAGTCTAATCCCACTCCAAGCGAAGACGTCTTTGTCTCTTTTTCTTGTCTCAAGTCCGAAACGTTTGAAGTCGAAAAGGCTAGTTTGGTTAAATCAAAATGGCACCTAACTCCGAAGAGGCAAGAAAGGATAGAGTCCTTACTTATTAAATTTTTTAAAAAGCTATTCCTTACTGCAATGCAATGAATGACCAGTAAAGTATTCTGCTTGAAGGGGGAAGCTAAACTTGAGTTGAGATTTTCATTTGTGCTCGACCGACTCCTCCCCTTTCGGTTCTAAGAGTCGATAAAGATAGACTAGAGGGTGGTTAATCGACTAATCAATCAGAGCAACAATATCATGCACCAATAAATCAAATTCAATTGAAAACAATTGAAAGTTGAAGTGTCACCCTTCAACAATTCTCAATACTCAAGAACGATAATTGAAAAACCCTTATCAAAGATCAACTCGCATAAACTGAACCATCACGAACACGATAATCACAAACGAAATCAAAACATCATCCCCTATTAAGTAGCATAAGGATTTAGCTACTCATAATCGAATAATCAACAAAAGCAATCACAACCCAAGAATTCATAATTAACGATTAAATTAAAAGAGATTTTTACGATTGACAAAATTCAAAAGTTGAATTCGATAAACAAGCTTGAATCCGAAAGCAATAATGAAATCCAAAATCAAATCTGTGTTCTACACTGAAAACTATGAAAGAAATATGAAAAACGAATGAAAGGAACGGTAGGTAGGGTTCTGATGTTTCTGGGCGAGAAAAGAAGATGATCGAAATCTTAGCCTTGACTTCTAACTCCTTCCTTTCCGGCCTTTGGCTTTCAATTAGTAAGGCGAAAGTGACCTAATCAATTAGTTGGGGCTCTTCTATCTTGACTTTATTTTTTTAGGGAATAGCCCTCCACTTTAGTGCTAGTTTTCCTTTATGTTGGGAGCGAGGATTGATGTAATTAACCTGCTTACTTCTTCTTTTTACACCGAAACAGTCCCCATCTCACATATATATACTAACAGGTCTTCACGGCGTGAGATTCTGAGCACGGCGCGAGGCGGAGTGATGGTGCAGTGCGGCAGAAGCGACACGGCGCGACAGTGGTGGTCTTCACGACGTGGCAGTGGTGGTCTTCACGGTGTGGGATGGCAACACGACACGGGAGGAGAAAAGGGCTCTTTTTTCGTCCGTGAGGGGATAAAAGGGCTCTCTGTTCGTTCGTGAGGGGCGTCACGTGGGATGTCGCGACGCGAAGGAAATGCGGGAGAAAATACGTGGCCACTGGAACAAGAAAAACTCGTGCTTTGTACAACCGGGGCTTGTACTTGTATATGTGGGACAACTCGACGTGATAAATTCTAAACGCCTGGTCAAAGCTCCGAACTTGCATACCTCCAAGGACAAGAAAACACACACAAAAACGAAGAAAACAATAGAAAGTACGGAAATAGAGAAATAAAGCGACACACACGAGACAAACAATTAGAGGACCAAAAATCCTATCAAAAGACCTAAAAACGGGGGCGAAAATCAATAAACAAACAAATGAAAAGATAAAAATTAGGACAAACAACTCCCCTACACTAAAACCTTTGTTCGTCCCGAACAAAAAGAAAAGAAAAGAAAGAAAAACAAACAACCGAGCAAGGACAACGGTTCAAGCAAGACTAATCTCAAACCAATCAATCAAGTCAAGAAGAATTGAAATGATCACAAGAACACACCTCAACTATTAACTTGGCTATTTTGAAGACATTGACTCTCAAGTACAAAAGTATATCATATGTACCTCACTCAGTTTCTTTTGCAAATATCAACTAGGTACACTCAAATTAGTCGTTAGTCGAATCAATCATAAGTTTGCTTATCGTCTAACTCTTACTCTAAAACAATCAAATTCGTGAAACATTGAATCAAGATGACTTTAAGGGATGCAACGTAGGCTTTTTGGATCGGGTAGGATAAATATAGGCTAAGTAGCTCAATATATAAGAACTCAACTCCACACATAACCCTAATCATGAACTCCTCCGGTTGTCGACACCA